ATGTTCTCATGGATTACATATAATTAGATATGACTTTTTCATTTTTTTCAATTTATTAATCTCTGCCTTTCATTTGAACATTCCATTTACATTTAATAATGGGTGTGGTTGGATTAGTTTTCCTTTTTTCTATTTTCTCATTTGAGATTGGTCTGTAGTTTTCTGTTGTTCTATATCAATTCATATCATTACATGCAACTAAAAACCTCATGTATGTCTTTTTCTAAAACTTTAGTTGTATGAGGCAAATATGACATTGATAAAGAGGCACTAAAAATCTATTGTCTACCTGATTTGTTTTCTTTTGGTGATACTAGGGTTTGAAATCAGGGCACTTGAGCCATACTCTCTGCCCAGGGTCTTGTTCTTTATTATAAAATAACTTTTCCAAACTTTAAAATATAGAATTGTTATGGTAACTGTGAAATGGTAGATAATTTAACTATGTTAACCATTTAACCATAACATCATGCTATATATACAATTTATTTTTTAAAATTAAGTTAAAAAAAGAAATTGGTCATTTTAGCCTTGTTTCTCTATGAGTCAATTTTATTCAATATTTTCCTAGGAAATTACCCATTTCATTTGTATTTCCAAATTTATTTGAGCCAAAGAATGTTGTCAGCTCTTAAGATTTAAAAAAAAATTTTTTTAAAGCATATACAATCTCTCCTTGAACAATGCCTCTGCCCTTTGATTAGGCTAACTTCTCAGCCTCCCAGCTGCCTCTTCCAGAATTCATAGGTGCCATTAGGGACTCACATACATGGGTTTCTTCCTTCTTTTTGATCTTGGCCTGTTGACTCTTCATTTTATTTGAAGATTCTCAGTGCCTGAGCACAGATTTTTATTTTTATCGTTTTCCAGTCCTCAGCAAGAGGACTATTTGAATCACATAGTCTGCCATTCCTGAAAATAAAATTCCTACATGTCCTTTTAGGAGATTTTTTAAAGTGTGGGTGGCATGTAGGAGGAGCCCTCACTGAAGAACATTCACATTCCTCAGTGGACAATTCAATGTGTGAATCAGCAGCAGTGTCTGACCTATAGGAACTCCCTTATAAAATGTGCATGTGTATATGGTGGAGTATTCTGGATTTGTTTGGGGGCTAACTTCTATTCATCCTTCCATCACCCAGATGTGAAAGTGAGGTTAAGCATGGTGGGTATAAAAAGAATGCTGATTTTTAGCTAGCAATTCAGATCTTTCACACAGGAGCAGTATCTGGACTGGAGACCTGTAGGCAACTGTGCATCACCATCAGAAAGCTGTCAAGGGGAGAGTTAATCCTTTTCAATTTATTAACATTGAAAACCATATTTCAGAGGTCAAGAAAGAGAAGATATGTGGAAAGGTAGAAGTCCTGAGTAACAGTCTAGCTTGGTCTGGAATACAGACTCTGCCTTTGCCTCCCTGGCAATTTCAACTATGGGACACAGGTCAGAAGACTAGCAGTTTCAACAACTAACAATCATCTGTACACACATGACTGTTAGGGTACAAATTACTGTGCTATATGACAGTACCCACCAAACTAAACCTTTTGGATTCTCAAGCATTGGTCATGGAGGAGAGGGGCTGTGATGGTACCCATGTACAGGCACCAAAAATGCTATGGGGAGGGAAAGAGGTAAAGTTGGCATCCAAACTTCAGGAAACATGAAGCCTAGAAGATGAATCTGTATCCAGCAAGAGTTAAGCCATGAGTAGACATAAGTAATTTGTTTATATAAAATTCCCACTTTTCAGAGAACTAATTTATTATGTTCTTTGATTTAAAGAACAAATTTATTTTGTTCACTAAGTGTAAAAATAGGAAATGAACAAATCCCTGCTGTACTGAGGGGAAGGTTGTTGAATCTATATTCATTTGGGTAAGTCATTAAATGTCTATACCTATGTACAAAATGAAATGTCAATACTATAACCCCACCCAGCTGTTCTGTAATCAGCTTATAAAACTTCTCTTCTACTGTAAGCCAATAAATGATAGTTAGGCAGCTCTACAACTTTATCTTGACTTTCTTTCTAATAATGTCCTCATACTGGAGTGTATATTTTACGTGATGTTTTAAGTTTTTTGTTAAGTGTTAATCCTGGTTTTAAAACAAGATCTGTAATAAATGCCTATGAAGGTTTCTGGAATTACTAAAGTCATGACAGCACATCCATCACAGTATATACATTTTGCAAGAGGGTAGCAAATTTAAAGAACATCAAATTTAAACAATGCTTTATATTTAATAATTACAGTAAGAATGCTTTTGATAGATTTACATAAATTTTTAATCAAAGGCAAATTCATTCATTAACTATGAATTCAAACAATATAGTGAAAATATATTTTATTTTAAGGCACTACAAAGAAATTTAAGCACACTCTATTTATACTCTATTTTAAGAATTGATAATAAATACACACTTTACACCTAGTCTTCATCCTTCATTCATAACTTCATGTATTAACAATGAAGTAAATTCCTTCAAAAAAAGAATTAAATGCAACCATCCTTGAAGCTTAACAATGCAGACATTTTAATCCTTTAACATTCCAAGAATTTATCTGTAAATTCTTAAAGATAGCCTAATTAGTATAATAATACTACAAAGCCTGTAGCATAGGACATTGAAGTACTTTTATTCTGTATTTCTGTTTATCAGAAGAACTTGTGGATTAATAACAGCAGCACAATGTCTCCATAAGTACAGGTACTTACTCTGAATTTGCTCACTGAATTAACAAAAATACTTAATCAAAACTTTTCCTATTTCCTTTGAGAACTATTGTCATAAACAGTTAAATATTTCCTGAAGTCAAATACTTTCTTCTCCCCAGAAAGCAGACAGCATATTCGTTAATCATCTATCAAAATGCATACCCAAACCTTACTGTAAAAGGGTAGCTTTGCTAAAAAGATTTTCTCAGTGTACTACAGGAATCATTGACTTTTAACAGTGATACTGTTTTAAAATACAAGCGAATTAACGCAAAGTTAGGTATAATGGTAACTTATCTTTGATTGAATAAATACTATTCTTTTTGTCTCATCAACATACACTTAAAATTTTTACCTAATTCTAATGTTTTGAAAATGGCGTGAAGGAGAAGATAAATAGCTAAAGTCCTGTTGACAGGGTTAAAAGAGTGACAATACATCAGTTCGGATTCCACCCAAACCGGGTGGATACTATCCATCTCTGAAACTTATATCCACCAAGCAAGCTAATGCAATCACTAAAACTCACAGCAGTGCAAGGACCAAGCTCTACTCAACCAGCATCCAATACTCTGCTACTACGTGAGACATTTAAAAAATGTCCACTCTTTTTTAAAAAGTAAACGTGGGAGCCTTTGCTCCCATTTCCTGTGTGGGGAACAGGATATGTTTCTCTCTTCCCCCCCCATCTATACTTTATCCTGTTATACTAAAATGAATCCTTGCTAAAACTTAAAAAATAAAGTAAATGTGGCAGTTCTATTCTTTGTTATTTTTTAAATAGAAATTGAAGCAGAAAGAACTTTTCCATTATTTTATTTAGATCAACTATTAACCTTCAGTATAGCTATTTTATGTGAGGGAAAAATATCAGAAAATTCATCAAAAAACAAAGTCAGTTCTATGCTGTTCTTAATATATTTAATTTATGACAACAGCATGGATTATTTATGCAAGGTGTGGAAATGTCTCCCAAAAACTCCAAACATAACAGGTACCAATTATCAGGTTCAAGAAATTAGCAGTGACCCAACAGGATGTATGATATTGTTGATGATTGACAACTATTATTTATCATCACCGATAAGCAACTTTTAACTGGGCTATATACTTATTGTAGATACAAACAAAGTTTGTTTTCACTCTATACTATTAGTATTAATTGCTTGTCTCAGGTTTTGCCTTAATATAATCTACAACTCAGTTTCTTCATATTTTATTAGAAGTTACCATCTAGCAAATGTAGGAAGACAGTTCTTCCCAACAAATCCTTGGCCAGGAGCAAGCATGTTAAAAGATAGGAGTAGAGTAATTGTTTCTGTGATCCAAATATTGGGAGAATAAAACAGTAGCAACACTAAGACTTTTCTGCCACCTAATGTATGGATGGTGCAAAGATGAGAAGATACTAATTCCATTTTGAATTTCATAACTACTCTATTGCCTAAAAATGTCTTATCATTCTGACCCAGTCAAAGTAGGATTTGTATTCAAGTCATAAATCTTTCTACGGCATTTGGATATTGGATACCTCAGGTTACAATAAACACGAGAAAGCTAAAAACAGTAGCAAAAATTAATGAGTTTTAAAAACATGATTTAACTTGTGAGTTAGGTGGAAGTAAATAAATACAAAGTACAAAAGAAAACCTTTTTTGAGAGCTGTGTTCTAGGGGAGTGTGGAAGCCTGCTGACCACAGTCCCTTCTGACCTCCAGTTGAAAGTCACATGTCTGCATACCCACACATGCAAACACACTTGCACAGACACAACACATACAGTTTACACAAGGCCATTAAGTACAAATCGAAAAAAAAACACTTTTCTTCTGAATTTCTTATTAGCAACAATCTTCAAAAAATGTAACTATTATTTTTGAGACAGGGACTCACTCTGTAGCCCAGGCTGGCCTTGAACTCACAATCCTCCTGCCTCACCCTCCAGAGTGCTAGAATTATAGCTGTGTGCTACCATAACTGGATTAAAAGATACAACTTTTGATACATGACTGTTTAAGGGTCTTAACAAAGATACAGTGGTATAGTTCAGGCTTTAAATAATACAATCTTAGTTTTATTTGCTTTTTAATAGCTTTGCTTAAAATGATTTCTGCATACAGATTTTTTTTTTCTGACTGGGTAATTACTGCTATCAACCACCACAGAATTTCCTAACTTGAGAGTTCACTTGGGATACAAACTAATTAAAGGTAATATAAAAATATAGGAAAATTTTTCTCTCTGATACATGAAACTCACAACTTTACATAAAGATTTCTATTGTTTCATTTATAAATATATATATATATTAGAAAAACATGCCTATTAAATTTTGGTGTATTTTCATTTAAAGATGTATCACATTCATTGCTTTTAAAAAGGTAGATGGAGTTTTTGTTCCCAAAAGCTATTTATCTTGGTAGAAAACACTGTTAACTGACCAACTAGCGATTTTACTATGGTCACAGTTATTTTGTTAGCAAATACACCAAAACAAAACACACGGAAAAACAAAACAATTTTAGCATGGTTGATTTAAGTCCTCTTTTCAAGCGTACATTTTCATGGTTAAAATACTATTCCTTGGATGTATCCTTAGTTCTAAGATTAACTGAAGACACTCTAAATAAGCCCCAGCAAATCACCCAATCAAAGGATCGTCGTCGTCATCTTGAAGCTGGAGTCGGGAAAATGGACGGGGCACAGACGTTCTGTTCTGCATGATTAGTATGAGGCATGTTAGCGTGGTCAGCACCAAGAGCGCACCGATAACAATGCCAATGGCCTCTGGGAGATTAATGCACCACTGGTCAACTAACAAACACTTGGTATGACCAAAGGTTCCATTGTTGGGATGTGGCTTTAATCCCAGGATATAGCACATCATTGGATAAATATCCACAATGTTAATGGTGCTGTGCTTGTAGCCTTTGTGAAATGCAGGACCATGGGCAGCTAGAAACGGATGCATACTAGGCAAAGAATTGTCATAACCATGGTCACCTACTGAAAAAGAACAAAATGGTAATCAATCAGCCTTTTTATTATGAAACAAGTTGCTTCTAGTATAAACACAGTAGGTTTCTTGCTAGCCTAATTCTCATCTGTTAAGATTGTAGTTAGCTGAACTAAATAGGAGCCAGAAATAAATATTTCCTTAGCCATACTTAGCTATATCCCCTATGTATGTATTTCTCTTTCTCTCTCTTTCCTCCCTCCCTCCCTTTCATCCACACACTCCTTTTCCCAATGGGTCATGGTCTCAGACTTTGACACTACTTCTCAACCTGATATACTTATCTTTCAGTCCTAACTCCACTTACTTCACCTGCCAACCTCCATCACCGTTTGTAAAAACTCACTACAAACAGCATTAGTTGAGGGTCCCCTAACACTGGAGAGAGAAGTAAGAACAATGAATGGGAGAGAAGTGGATCTGCAGGAGTACCTACCTCAATTTCTCCTCTGTTAAAAAACAGGATGGCTAACTGTATTACTGGCTTGACAATTAATGAACACCTCAACATCAGGAGAGCTAGATGAGTAAGAATTTTACAGAAGAGCTTCTTCTATGAATGTGAGTTATAGCCAGATGACACCAAATTCACACTCTAGTAAAAGTCTGACTCTTAACAAAAACAAAGACTCCCTGACTGGGAATCTCCAATACCAGATTCTCAAGGTTTAGTTTTATTTCAACAAGCCTTATCTTTTAAAATATAGCAGTTGCATTTAATAAATTTCTACTTTTCTGGTAAGTACAGATGACTCAGTAAGTGTACTAATGTCTGCTATAGTGTTCTTTAATATTCCATAATAAAAATAACAAAAATCAATGACAAAATAGATATTATGATTTCAATAATATTAAAATTTGCATGTATATATAATATAAAAATGATTAGGAGGGGAAGCTTACACAATTCATATTTGTGGGTATTTCTGCATTGAGGGATTATGGATAGTTTTTTACCCTTTTCTGTATTTTTCAAGTTTATGAAAATGAGTATATAAATCAACAGAAATAATATACAAAATTCACTGACTCTGAGTCTTTCTTATCCTTGTCTGATACTTCTAAACTGTGGTATATTGGGAATCTGAAAATTATACACCATGGCCAAATTTGGTCCTCCATCTGTTTTTGTAAACTAAGTGCCTATATAAATTTACTAACATACACAAGAAAAGGGAATTTAAGGTAACTAAGCTCTCCCCTTTAACTTTGTTTACTACCTTTTATTTTGTACAAATTAAGAGAGTCAATCTTAAAAAGAGTAACTACAGTTTGGGTAGCTGGAAACTGAATGAATAATACTATGTGAACATATCTAAATCAAAGTACCCTCCTAAGAGAACAGGGTCACAATGTGTGATTTATACCTAAGATACAACAAAATACTCCAAATAAATACTTACATTTTAATGCTGATTTATTTAGTACAATTGTCCAACCTTCATCAGCAACCAAAATAATAGGCTGGATTCTATCATTATGTTGGTAATAAAATCTGTTAGGAATATCTTCTTTGAGATAAACATTCATGTGAGAGTTACATTTTTTCAGTTTGTCATAAGCCTCTGTTACATCTGTAAAAAGGAAATTGCAAAGGAAAAAGTCATGGTTGACTGAAAAGGAAAAAGTACGTCTAACTAGAATAACAAAATAAATTTCGGAGAATGTTATCTATTAAATCACTTTCAATTCTTAAAACAACAGAGAATAATTATGGGACAATGTCAGGATGGACACACACACACCCCTTTTCTAAGCGTTTACATATCTTTCATTTTTTGGATAACCCTGGTAGATTTTTACAGAAAGGTGAAAATTTTCATATTGAATTTCCTAAGTAAATATAATTAATTATGTATTGTTACTGATTACTAATTTAGAAGTGTGTATCTTACACTAAGACCCAAGATGTTTCTAAGGGTATTTCCTTTTTCCCTTAGTTGAATCACTAAGAAATATATCAAAGAGCAGAGGAATAGTCAGTTTAAACTGAATTGGTAAGAATTGCTCAAAGCTTATACATTAGGGGGAAAATGTATAATCCTTCTCTGAATGAGTACTGGTCCTGAACAACAAAAAGACAGGGATTTATTCTTTAAAAAAAAAAAAAAAAACCCTCCCTCTTCAACCAACTTCCCCATTCAAAAATAGTATCCCTCAGATAAAAGTCTACTTACTTATTTTGGGAAGTATTGCAGCAACCGGGGTCAAATCTATAAGACTGTAGTTTGAGTGATCGATGCAGTGATCCAAGTTTATCAGTCTGTTCTCAGAACACTGGGTCATCCCATGATCACTTGTAATGATCACATTAATACTTTCCCACAATCCTAACATCTTGAGTTTTTGAACTAAGTCACCAATTAGGTCATCTATTTCTTTCAACACCCTACGCATGTTTTCTTTATCTTCAGGTCCATATTTGTGGCCACTTGCGTCTGGTTCTTCCCAATAGAGTGTTGCAAAGGTGACTGGTGGGTTGGAATTGCTTAGCCATGTGGTAATTTTACTTAGTCTCTCCTTGAATGACACTGAGGAGCTGTAATTCATATAATAGGAAGGTGTGGTATTATGAATGGGTACATCAGTACCAGGCCACATAGCAGCAGCACTCGATCTGTTTTCTTGAAGTTGATTTGTCACCCAAATAGGTACTGCCTCATTCCACCAAAAAGGATCCTTATCATTAGAGTCAGAAAAATGTTTCTTTGTGACGTTGTCATACATGGAGTTGGCCACAATGCCGTGGCTTTCCTCATATAAGCCTGTCACGATGCTGTAGTGGTTTGGAAATGTTTTTGTAATAAAAACATTTTTAACATGTTCTACTAAGACACCTTCTTTGATAAAATTCTGGAGATGAGGAAATTCATAGTTCTGCAGATAATCAGCTCTGAAGCCGTCAAAGGACACCAGTAGTAACTTGGGTGGCAAACTATAGGAAGAGTTACCTCTACAGCTAATTGTAAGTCCAGAAAATAGAAGTATTACTAATAACTTCATAATGAACAACGCTGAAGACAGCAATCAGGGTTCCTAAAATATAAAAACAATTCATAAGTAGTAATGCTGTTTGATTTATATTTTCAGAAGTTTAGCTAACAGGAGAATCAACATTTATAAACCTTTTACATGCCAGCTTATCTATATCAACTTCAACATAGTTTAATAAAGCTGAAGCTAAGAGTACATAAAAATTGCTTCTGCTTGTCCAATTTCCTATTGGCTTATGTTCTGGCCCATTTTTCATGCTCTGAAGGGAAAACAGGCCATTTTTTTTTCTTTTTTTTCATTTTTCTTTTATTATTCATATATGCATACAAGGATTGGTTCATTTCTCTCCCCTGCCCCCACCCCCTCCCTTACCACCCACTCCGCCCCCTCCCGCTCCACCCCCCCAATACCCAGCAGAAACTATTTTGCCCTTATCTCTAATTTTGTTGTAGAGAGAGTATAAGCAATAATAGGAAGGAACAAGGGGTTTTGCTGGTTGAGATAAGGATAGCTATACAGGGCATTGACTCACATTGATTTCCTGTGCGTGGGTGTTACCTTCTAGGTTAATTCTTTTTGATCTAACCTTTTCTCTAGTTCCTGTCCCCTTTTCCTATTGGCCTCAGTTGCTTTAAGGTATCTGCTTTAGTTTCTCTGCGTTAAGGGCAACAAATGCTAGCTAGTTTTTTAGGTGTCTTACCTATCCTCACCCCTCCCTTGTGTGCTCTCGCTTTTATCATGTGCTCATAGTCCAATCCCCTTGTTGTGTTTGCCCTTGATCTAATGTCCACATATGAGGGAGAACATACGATTTTTGGTTTTTGGCCAGGCTAACCTCACTCAGAATAATGTTCTCCAATTCCATCCATTTACCAGCGAATGATAACATTTCGTTCTTCTTCATGGCTGCATAAAATTCCATTGTGTATAGATACCACATTTTCTTAATCCATTCGTCAGTGCTGGGGCATCTTGGCTGTTTCCATAACTTGGCTATTGTGAATAGTGCCGCAATAAACATGGATGTGCAGGTGCCTCTGGAGTAACAGTCTTTTGGGTATATCCCCAACAGTGGTATTGCTGGATCAAATGGTAGATCGATGTCCAGCTTTTTAAGTAGCCTCCAAATTTTTTTCCAGAGTGGTTGTACTAGTCTACATTCCCACCAACAGTGTAAGAGGGTTCCTTTTTCCCCGCATCCTCGCCAACACCTGTTGTTGGTGGTGTTGCTGATGATGGCTATTCTAACAGGGGTGAGGTGGAATCTTAGCGTGGTTTTAATTTGCAGGCCATTCTTTTAATCCCCTAAATACTCTGGTTTGGCTGTCTTGCTGGCCTATAGCAGCAGCAATTATTCTAAAGGCTTAAGAAGAACAGATGAAGAAACAAAAATGACTCTTTTGTTCAAAGTACAAATGATACCAGGCTTTCAGGTGCTCTAGAGAGGCAGATTCTTTTTCTAGTTCACTGACAAGTACCCTAGAGGTCCCATAACCCACAGAGATAACTGGCAGAAATTATTCTATTTAGTTCATCAACAATTTGTGTTCTGTTGGCAAGGACATGGGGGAAAAGGAACCCTCATACACTGTTGGTGGGAATGCAAGCTGGTGCAACCACTCTGGAAAAAAATTTGGAGGCTCCTTAAAAATCTAAATATACATCTGCCATATGATCCAGCAATCCCACTCTTGGGGATATACCCAAAAGAATGTGACACAGGTTACTCCAGAGGCACCTGCACACCCATGTTTATTGCAGCGCTACTCACAATAGCCAAGTTATGGAAACAGCCAAGATGCCCCACTACTGACGAATGGATCAAGAAAATGTGGTATTTATACACAATGGAATTTTATGCAGCCATGAAGACGAATGAAATCTTATCATTCGCAAGGAAATGTATGGAACTGGAGAACATCATTCTGAGTGAGGTTAGTCAGACTCAGAAGACCAAAAATCGTATATTCTCCCTCATATGTGGTCTTTACATCTAGGCCAAATACAGCAATGTTGTAGGACTTGGGTTACATGACAAGGGGAGAACATACACGGGAGGTACGGGTTAGAATGAAAACCCAAAACACGATAGTATTTGATGTCCCCACTCCAGAGGAACTAATACAGAAACCTTAAAGTGACAGAGGTCAACACGAGAAGGAGATCAGGAATCAGTATAAAGATCAGTTAGAGATGAATCAACCTGGGTTGTAACACATTTGTACATGAAAGCAAAGCTAGGAATCTCTCTGTATAGCTGTCCTTATCTCAACTAGCAAAAATGCTATGTCTTTCCTATTATTGCTTATTTCTACTCATCAATGAAACTGGAGAAAAGCGCAGAACAGGTTCTGCCTGGAAGAGGGGGGAAAGGAGGGAGAGGGTAGGGGAGGAGGAGGAGAGAGAAATGACCCAAACAATGTATGCACATATGAATAAATGAATAATAATAATAATAAAACTTATGAACAATGGAAAAAAACAATTTGTGCTTCAAAATTCTAGCACAAAAAGGGACTAAAGAATAAATGCTATTTGAGAAAAACATTTCAGCTTAATCTGTGTGAATGCCACAACATACACACGAAACTGATTAGCCAATAGATAAACCTTAAAGGGACTTGGATGGCACAGTAACTTCTAAAAAAAAAAGTCAACAGGGGTTGGAATGAATTTCATCCATTTTCCTGTCAAAGATACATTCTTGGGCAGTAGGCATGGCTCAAGTAGAAGAGTGCCTGCTTAGCAAGTGTGAGGTCCTAAGTTCAAACACCAATACCACACACACACACACACACACACACACATACACAAGACATATTTTCCCTAATACACCTGGCTTGGGGATATTCCTGTTTGCTCTTTTGAAAAAAAAAATCCATTGACTACAAAAACCACTTTCACCTAGTAAATATTTCTTCCTTCAGTCTCTTACCGCCTTTGGTCTCTAAGAAAACAGGATCTGTAACTTGGGTAGAATTGTTTGCTTTAGATGGGCAGGATGTGTCTTCTGTTGTAAAAGGAGATACAGAAGGAGTACAGATGGTCAGGTAACAGGTCTAAGGGCTAGGAGTGAAGGGCACTGCATTGTCTGGGGTGTGGGAGGTAGGGTCAGTTACTGAAAGTGAATAGGGTAGTAAAGACTCAGAGGTTTGAGAAACACAGAGAATGTCTGAAATAATCAATGTGGAGAATGAGAGAGGGGACAAGGAAACAGGATTGGTAGGAAATGTTGACAGCTGGTGACATGAGATTTTGTAACTGACATTGTTTTCCCTACCAGTTCACAGGTCCTGGCACAGGCAAGAAAAAAGCAGGAACCTGATCCCACCAGGCTTGAAATTGGCTAGAAATTGAAAGTTACAAAGCTGAAAATGCTGGCTAAAGAAAGACTGAAATTCCAGCTACAGCATCTAGGCTGAAACTAGGAGCTATGGAGGAAGGGTTCTAATGAAGTCAAAGAACTGATGGTTTAAGTGTAACTTTCATCGGAAGTTGCAAAGATGCAAGGTTGTGGTCAGAATGAGGTGGGTGAGATCAGTATTTCAGAATAAGAAGAGCCTGGGTATGGGCACTGGGGTATGCATCTTTTTTTTTTTTCATTTTTCTTTTATTATTCATATGTGCATACAAGGATTGGTTCATTTCTCCCCCCTGCCCCCACCCCCTCCCTTACCACCCACTCCCCCCTCCCGCTCCCCCCCCCAATACCCAGCAGAAACTATTTTGCCCTTATCTCTAATTTTGTTGTAGAGAGAGTATAAGCAATAATAGGAAGGAACAAGGGGTTTTGCTGGTTGAGATAAGGATAGCTATACAAGGCATTGACTCACATTGATTTCCTGTGCGTGGGTGTTACCTTCTAGGTTAATTCTTTTTGATCTAACCTTTTCTCTAGTACCTGTTCCCCTTTTCCTATTGGCCTCAGTTGCTTTAAGGTATCTGCTTTAGTTTCTCTGCGTTAAGGGCAACAAATGCTAGCTAGTTTTTTAGGTGTCTTACCTATCCTCACCCCTCCCTTGTGTGCTCTCGCTTTTATCATGTGCTCAAGTCCAATCCCCTTGTTGTGTTTGCCCTTGATCTAATGTCCACATATGAGGGAGAACATACGATTTTTGGTTTTTGGCCAGGCTAACCTCACTCAGAATGATGTTCTCCAATTCCATCCATTTACCAGCGAATGATAACATTTCGTTCTTCTTCATGGCTGCATAAAATTCCATTGTGTATAGATACCACATTTTCTTAATCCATTCGTCAGTGCTGGGGCATCTTGGCTGTTTCCATAACTTGGCTATTGTGAATAGTGCCGCAATAAACATGGATGTGCAGGTGCCTCTGGAGTAACAGTCTTTTGGGTATATCCCCAACAGTGGTATTGCTGGATCAAATGGTAGATCGATGTCCAGCTTTTTAAGTAGCCTCCAAATTTTTTTCCAGAGTGGTTGTACTAGTCTACATTCCCACCAACAGTGTAAGAGGGTGGGGTATGCATCTTGAAGAGCAACAAGCTAACTAATATAATGAAGCTTACAAGCCATTTGTTGTGTGTTCTTTCTTCCAACTAGTCTGCAATTACCGAAGGCAGAGATTTTCTTCTTTCTTTCAAAGACACCACCAGGAGAATCTGTGATCTGGTTATCATTCAAATGCTTATGGATTGAAGCTGTGACCCTCTGACTTAAATGTTCTAAGGCCAAAGATATGGAACTATATTTGTGTGAATCTTTATGTTTGAAAAATTCCTACCATTTTAACCTGAGACAGCAGCCATCTAAGTGTGGGTGCATGTAATACCTGTTGCTGGAGCCATCCAAGAAACCAAAAACAGTGCAGAATAGGAAAATCAAACCATCTTTCCAAGTACGGAGTAACAAACCTAATGTAGTAGACCTGGCATACTCCCACTAACACAGCCTGTCCTATCCCAGCAATTTCAACCATCAAGTATTTAGACAGCAGTACTTTCTTTTCATTCATATTTCATCCTCTTGCATAATACTGCAGCACAACTTAACCCCTCCTTTAGAGACAGTCTTAAC